GCCAGAGTCCCAGCAACAGTGAGTCAGAAACCCCCAGTGAACAGACGAGAAACAAACAGAGGATGATGATGCTGTGATCCAGAAAGTATGAGCAGCTAAAAAGATATTATCGAGCCGAAAATGTGAAGCTGGAGGATATCGAAGGGACCGATTGCGGACTCGGAGTAGATGTCGAGCACATCATCCGGTGCTACATTCCTCTGGTTCACCCGAGAGCGTTGCCGGAGTTGGGTGATGATAGCGGTAGTGGCCATGGTGTTTGAGCTTGAGAGTACTAGAGAGAATCGTCAGTGACTTTTCGGTGAGACAACGACGCACCCGCTCCAATTTTGGTCGTCCCAAAACCTAATTCGACGCAATCGTTAACCCCTGCTATCCAGTCATTACTTTCCAGTTCGTTGTGATTCCATCGGTCGACGACGGTGTCATAGAGCGAGACGGTACGGTGAGATGATGGTGGTCGGTCGGGTACTGGTGGTCCCTCTTTCTCAACTCCCAATCATTTGTTCATCTTCGGCTCTGGATATGAGTAGGCAAACGAGCCGGAAATAAAGTAGACAGAAATAAACCAGACGTTACATTTGATAGTACGACTACAGCCTGAAAGGCAGATACAATTTGAGCATTAAACAGGGTGGGAGGGTGGGTAAGCGGTGAAAAACTCTGTATACAACGTTCAGTAAACGTGAAGAGCTGAATAATGTACATAAAACATACCTGGGTACAGCGGGCAGTGAGCGAGAAGAGCTGAAAGACTCGACACACATGACCGCTGTACCCACATGACCGGAAAATTCCGGTACTATGCCGAGCGCGGCTAGAAATTTGCACAGCGGTGCAGAGAATAAGTTGCGTGCGACGCAACTGAGTCGTTTAGCGAAACGACTTGAGGGCAATAAAAGCACGTAGCGACGTGTGCCCTTTGAGACCTGGGACTAACAATATTGATCTAGGTAAATTCAAAATTTACCGTCAACCAATCATTTGTTCATCTTCGGCTCTGGATATGAGTAGGCAAACGCGCCCCAGGGAATGCGCCCCCAGGGCCGGGATGGATTATGAATGGGCATGCGAGTGACCGCTATGGAGCCTATGGAGTTATAGATGATAAATGATGATCAAGGGAGCATGCCGATAATTGAAGAAAATCATTGGAGTAGGAGAGCGGTGAGGAAAGTGGGATTCTTTCGGATGTAAATGTGGAAGGTTTCTGATGCCCAACGACCGGTGGCACGAATAAGATGAAGTGGGACACCAATTTCGGCCAGTCCAGTAGCACCACCTGAACGAATAGACTGGCCAGCGATGTCATGTCGGTTGTATAAATTTTTTAGCTTCTCCATGAACCAATTTCGGGTGGGCATAGAACCATCAGCTCGCAGCCAAAGCTGCCAATGGGTGGGGAATAAGTTGTCGCGCGATTTGATGTAATCGAGGAAGGGGTTGTATGGATCGATTTCAACGGGAAACCGAGTATGGCGATGAATTACCACTTTGTTTCCTTCAAAGAAAGGATCCGCTTTGTGTTGAGGTAAGTCGAAACCGTAACCTTGCAAGTACCACTTCACCGAATCTCGCCTAGTGCGCTTTCGGAGATTTTGATGTTTCCTAACATCAGGAAGGCATAATTCAGCGAGACGAAGTAAACCGAACCAGCCTGTCAGCAACTGAGCAAGAAAAAGTAAATCGTCGTGATGACGACTGTGACGGTAATGCTCAACAGCTAGAGCCAGGTCGGAAACAGAAAGAGGGGATTTTCTTTTGGTTGGTTTGCTGTACAAACGGCGACATCCTCGAAGTGTTTTCCGTACTATGCGATGGTTGCGAATTGCCCGAACATCATCGTAAAAGTCTTCAAGCTCGTTGCAGATACCAGATAGGTATTTCTCCACCGATTTTGGGTCGATGCGCTGTACATCGTTGTTGCAAAGCCAAACAATGTAAAAACTAAAAGTATCAGGTGTAGGTTTATAGGAAAATTGGTGAACATCACAGAAATAAACGTAGGAGTTGAGGGCAGATGAGTATGAAGAATGGGTAGAAGTGTCAATAGCTGCGCCAACTGCAATGGAGCGTTCAAATTTGAGACGCTCCAGAGACCACGGCTTCCGAGGTGGTTGCCGCGATCCCTCCGATAACGTAGGGTTCATTTTTTGAATGCCCCCAACGTACTTCGAGGGGGTTTTAAATAAAGAGACAGTTGGCAAAAAAGATAAATGCAACCAAGCCCTGAACTCAGCGGCAAGGTAGCATAAAAAGGCACTTGAGGAAAAGAAGAATTGCGACCAAGCCCTGAACTCAGCGGCAAGGTAGCGAGTCCAAAAAATAGTGAGATAAGGAAGAAATAACAACCAAGCCCTGAACTCAGCAACTTGGTTATAGGTCTGCGAAAGAATGAAATAGGGGCGAAAACCAACAACACCACCAGAAAGCGCACCAACTCCACCCAAAACACTTCCCAATCAGTTCTACTCGGTCTTCCCCTCTTTACACTCATGAGCACCATGTCCCTGTCGCCTACAATTCGGTCTCGAACAAACATGAGCGTAATGACAAGTCCCCACACAGATACCTTGATTAAACCGCTTGCATATTTCAACCTTAGGTCGTTTATCCCTCGAAGGTGATAGCAAAGAGGAAGTCGAAGCAAGCTGCGCGTTTTCGACCACAAATGCTCCATAGTTTTCGATATGGGTACGGAATGCGTTCCGAAAGGCATCGTGATTGGTATCCGCGAGAGTGAGGTCACCACGATTAGCAACCAGGTTGCGAACCGCTTTGTCATACGAGATGAGACGAGGATGGAGCGATGGGTCAATCGAGAGAAAAAGATCACCCATATGATTCTCGTAAGTAGCCAGCTCGGAATCGCGATGAGGAAAAAGGTGCAGAGTTGCACGTTTGAATAAACGGAAAGCCTTGTTCCATTGGGCCTCATTGGTGACTGTCTTCGTGACCTCGACATCTTTCTCCACTTTGATCTCAAATGCCCCCACCTTCTCTTTAAGTGACTTTGGAATGGCCGGAGAATGAATGCTAGAGAGTACGGCATCAAAATCGCAGACCTTGTTCTGGATAATGGCGTTCCATTCGCTATCGGGAAATTCAGGTCGACTGACTGATCCCTTAAGCAAGTCTTTGAACGCTTTCCCACCTCGACGATAGTTCGTAGCGAGTGCGTGAGTGGCTCGGGCTCCGGAAGACATAGTCTCGAGAAGGATTTTGTCCTTTGCAATGAAAGGGACAAGGTCCTTATCGAATTTCGACCTCTTACCGCCGTCATCACTGTCACTAGATGAAGAAGAGGATGAGGACGGGGAACCATCTGGAGGACTATTTCGATGGTGACGGCGTCGTTTTCTACGGTGGGATCGAGAACCACCATTATTTCCTCCGGTGCTATTACCACCATGATTTCCGACAACTCCTCCATCAGCTTCACCTTCGGGTCTTGTAGCAGTAGTAGTGTCGTTCCCAGATGTGTCCCCCCTCCTGGCTGCAAGGTTACGCTCGGAATCCAGAGAGTCGATCTGTGCAAGCCATGTTTTGATGGAGGACTCATGTGCGTTCGGAGGACCAGGTAAACCAGTGAGAATAAGTACAATCCCGGTTTGGGCAGAAGCTCGGTCGAGTTTATTGTCTCGGTAGTCATCGATGACCTTTTGCAATTTTTTGACCGTCTCGTTGTCGAAACTAACTCCGGGAGGGGGACCCTGCTCTTGTTCGTCAGCCAAAGAATTATTCGTTGCTCCTGCGTTCCCAGAATTAGGTGTAGACTGAGTTTGGTTACTCGTGCCCGAGGCAACGGTAGCACTAGAACCAGAAACGAGCTGAGAGAAACTTGGACCCGGATTAGAGCTACTGCGCGGGTTAACAGCTCCATACGGTACGTAGGTAGGCCCTGTGTTTGAACCAGTGTTCGCGTTGCCGTTGCCCGAAGACGATGCAGTAGTGCTTCGTCGTTCATCGTTGTCTTGATTCTGAGACATTTGTGAAGAGCGCGCAGCTCTGAGAAATGTTGATGTATTCGGAGAATAAAGATATATAAGCGGTGAAAAACTCTGGGTACAACGTTCAGTAAACGTGAAGAGCTGAATAATGTACATAAAACATACCTGGGTACAGCGGGCAGTGAGCGAGAAGAGCTGAAAGACTCGACACACATGACCGCTGTACCCACATGACCGGAAAATTCCGGTACTATGCCGAGCGCGGCTAGAAATTTGCACAGCGGTGCAGAGAATAAGTTGCGTGCGACGCAACTGAGTCGTTTAGCGAAACGACTTGAGGGCAATAAAAGCACGTAGCGACGTGTGCCCTTTGAGACCTGGGACTAACAATATTGATCTAGGTAAATTCAAAATTTACCGTCAACTATATCGGTTAGTACACGCGCCTGTCATTAGTTCAATGAAAAGTTAGACGCGCGAAAGCTGGGTTCGACTCCCAGCCAGGGAGCTTAGTCGTGATCAGTTTTTTTTTCCTAAGTTGCAACAAGTTCATAACTGAGGGAAATCTTCCTATTTTTGGGAACTCTTTTTTTGTTTTAACTGTAACATAGCTACACAAGCACTTGTGTATAATATTAGTACTTGCGGATCCGGAAAATATCTCTCCTTTTGATGTTCACCCTACATACAGGATATTCATATACATAAGTTTTTAGATTTTCATTGTAAGGAGGTGTTCCCTGGTAGGTAGGTAGATTAAATTTACTGTCTAATGCGTAGTTAGATTCTTTGAAAAAGATGGTGTTACAAACGCGTTTGTAGACTGTAGTACGTTATTGTATCTAGTTATGTTCAATGAAAAGGAGTGGGCCATCGCTTTGCGTGGCAAATACGAGGCCGTAATTGTCGGTCCGGGTGATTGATTCTAATGTCACATTATCACATACTAAATGGAGATTGTACATGGCTACTGCACAGCCACCAGCGCGAGTCGACTTTAGTAAGGACGAGTCCTCCTTTCAGTCGGCCTCGTAACGTTTTCTCAACAACTCCCTGGTAGTATATCGGTTAGTACACGCGCCTGTCATCCACATCATAGACGTGTCTACGCGCGAAAGCTGGGTTCGACTCCCAGCCAGGGAGTGCCGTATTTGCATAAGGCATATTTTTCCTGTTGCACAAAAAAAATCTAAGGCAATTTTGAAACTTGTATTGTTAACTTTCATGGTGAATTGTGTATATGTAGTTACATGAGTTGTACTTGCAAACATCACACCTACTATCTATCTCTGTTTTTCCTGGTATTCACCCTACATACCAGGATATTCATACATGAGTTTTTAGATTTTCATGTAAGGACGTGTTCCCTAGTGTCGAAATCAAAAAAAGGCACATCCCGCTTAGACTATAGGAAGGAAACGGAAGTAAATCTAAATTTCAAGATTCCGATTTGGACTGATCGAAAATCGGAAGATTTCTGCTGTTCAGGAATTATGTGTACGTCCCGTTTTTGTATTCTCTAGCAACAGTGGCAAGACCGAGGGAGCATTACAATACTTGTAGTACTTGCGAAAAAAATCGATTTACTATCTATTTAAGATTTGCATAAGTACCTCACTCTGCGTAGTTAGATTCTTGAAAAACGATGGTGTACAAACGCGTCTGGTCTTAGACTGTGGTAAATACGTATTGTAGCTATGTTCAACGTTTGTACAACAACTCCCTGGTAGTATATCGGTTAGTACACGCGCCTGTCATTCCATTTTGTCTGGTCTTCGTAAAAGGGTAGACGCGCGAAAGCTGGGTTCGACTCCCAGCCAGGGAGCTGTGTCGTGTTCAGAAAGTTTGTTGTTTTCCTAAGTTGCAACAAGTTCAAAACTGAGGGAAATCTTCGTATTTTTGAGAACTCTTTTTTTTGTTGTTAACTGTAACATAGCTACACGAGCTACTAAGTACTTATGTATAATATTAGTACTTGCGGATCCGGAAATCATATCTCTCCTTTTGATATTCACCTGACATACGAGGATATTCATATACATAAGTTTTTAGATTTTCATGTAAGGAGGTGTTCCCTGGTAGGTAGGTAGATTAAATTTACTGTCTATTTAAGATTGCGTAGTTAGATTCTTTGAAAAAAGATGGCGGCCATGGTGTTACAAACGCGTTTGTAGACTGTAGTACGTTATTGTGTCTAGTTATGTTCAACATGTTCACAACAACTCCCTGGTAGTATATCGGTTAGTACACGCGCCTGTCATCTAGTAGTTCTGATTATGACATAATCTAGCGCGCGAAAGCTGGGTTCGACTCCCAGCCAGGGAGTTGTAAAGCCGTCAGTCTTTTTTTCCTGTTGCACAAAAAAGACCAAGGGAATTCTTGGAAACTTGTGTTGTTAACTTTCATGGTGAATTTGTATATATGTAGTTACATGAGTTGTACTTGCTAAACATCATACCTACTATCTATCTCTGTTTTTTTCTGGTATTCACACTGCATACAGGATATTCATATACATAAGTTTTTAGATTTTCATGTAAGAACGTGTTCCCTGGTAGTAAGTATATTGGTTAGTATCGGAATCAAAAGAAGGCACATCCCGCTTAGATACATAAGAAGGAAACGGAAGTAAATTTAAATTTTAAGATTCCGATTGGACTGATCGAAAATCTTTGAAGATTCTGCTGCTGTTCAGGAGTGTGTGTACGTCCGTGTTTTGTATTCTCTAAGCAACAGGTGGCAAGTCCGAGGGAGCATTAACAATACTTGAGTAATTCCTTAGCAGACAACGGCCTCAATGTCATCACCAAAAAAGGGCTGGTTCTGACCTGTAAGGCTGTAAGGGAGGTTTCCTTTGGCCACCCCTAGGCAATTTGTACGTTCTTAGCTACATTCCTCTTGCTCTCGTAGTTGCTACCACTACTGTAAGAGCCCCTATTTTTGCAATATTATAGACCATGGTGCGATCGATGGATACTACGAACTCCCTATAGGAATGGGTATACGTACCATCCTTTCCATTGAAACCCGCTCGATGATGAAGCATTCAAGTACTCGAGCATTCTAACGTTTCCTCATTCCATTACACCTTCGAATCGATCACTCGCAGCTGATTTCCATGAATACGTTCTGGAATGGACGGAAGAGTTTGTTAGGATTTATGTGGACACTAGGTTACATACGTTGTTGGAATATCGGTTTGATGACGCACCGTTTTGGAATAAAGGGAAAAAGGCTGGGATTTGGGGTATGGATGGGAGTAATACTGCTTTTAGGGATCCTAGTACGGGTCAGTTACAAGGGATCAAAGATCCTTGGGGGGGTGTTGATGGGTTGGGGACTACGGGGAATGGGTCGGTGGCTTCCGGAGGGACTGGGAGTCCTGATGGAAAGGGGGTTTTACCAGATGGGAAGGGAGGGACGATGAGAGCGAAATGGAACGCACCGTTCGATCAAGATTTTTATCTGATCATGAACGTCGCTGTTGGTGGTACTAACGGATGGTTCCCGGATGGACAGGGTGATAAACCTTGGTTGAACGGTGCTGGTTCGCAGACTGCAATGAGGGAGTTTGCGGATAAGAAGGATGAGTGGTATCAGAGTTGGCCGCAGGGGGAGGAGATGGATAGGAGGGCTATGGTTGTGGATTGGGTTAAGATGTGGAGGCATTGTTAAAGAGTTGGATGGGGATTTGAGGAACTGGGGTTGGTGTTTTTTTTTTTTTTTGGGATTGGGGTTTTTTTCTAGACTTTTTATATGCATATGTATGGTTTTTTGGACCTAATTATTCTTTTTTCTTTCTTTTACTTATTGTCACTCACTTACTCATCTCACTCGTTGAAACAACTCGCGTTTGCTCTTTCTTTTTCTTTTTACCTTATGTTTAACATAGTCACACAAACTATATAAGTAGTACTTGCAAAAAATCGTTCTTGCTACTTATCTATTTGAGATCTACATAAGTACCTCACTCTGCGTACATAGTTAGATTCTTGAGAAACGATGGTGTAACAAACGCGTCTGGTCTTAGACTGTGGCACGTACTTATATTGTATCTACTTTTGTTCAACGGTGTCACACCAACTCCCTGGTAGTATATCGGTTAGTACACGCGCCTGTCATTAGATGGTTAGCTCTCTATCCGCGCGAAAGCTGGGTTCGACTCCCAGCCAGGGAGTACCATTATTCTGTGTTTTTCCTGTTGCACAAAAAAAAAACTAAGGGAATTCTGGAAACTTGTATTGTACATTTTTTCTTTTACTTTCATGGTGAATTGTATATATGTAGTTACATGAGTTGTACTTGCTAAACATCATACCTATCTACTATTATTTTTTTTCTGGTATTCACACTGCATACAGGATATTCATCCAAGTTTTTAGATTTTCATGTAAGAACGTATGTTCCCTGGTAGTATATTGGTTAGTGTCGGAAGCAAAAAAAGGCACATCCCGCTTAGACGGAAGTAAATTTAAGATTCCGATTTGGACTGATCGAAAATCTGAACTTGATTCTGCTGTTCAGGAGTATGTGTACGTCCGTTTTTGTATTCTCTAAGCAACAGTGGCAAGACCGAGGGAGCATTACAATAACTTGAGTAATTCCTTAGCAGATACGGCCTCAATGTCATCGCCAAAAAAAGGGCTGGTTTTGACCTGTAAGGGTCCAGGGAGGTTTCCTTTGGCCACCCCTGGCCCTTGGGCAATCTGTACGTTCTTAGCTGCAACTCGTAGTTACTACCATTACTGTAAGAGCCCCTATCTTTGCAATGTTATAGACCATGGCGCGATCGATGGATACAAACTGCCTATAGAAATGTGTATACATACCACTCTCCATTGAAACCCGCTCGATGAAGCATTCAAATACTCACCAAATACTCACTCGAGCATTCTAACGTTTCCTCATTCCATTATCTTCTACGACACCTTATTTTACAATGAACATCCTCGATAACACTCGCTAACCCAACACTTCTTCAAGTATCGTTACTCGTATCCTACACTCTTTTAACTAATGCATAAAACGATGCGTAACTAGATCGTAAAAAAAGTCATTACGGACATATACATATAGATTATTATTTACATTAAGCCTCGTGTACTATGTATAACCTGCAGACAGGCTGAGGACTTGCATTTCTTCTTTCACCAAACTCTAATAAATCCCATCCATCATCCATTGCGTTTGTCTCGTCTCACTCAACCCCCTTCCAACCTCCTACCACCTCCAGGCTCCAATCCTTCTCTCCTCAAAGACTAACAATCCTCGTCCCCAACTCCGCCACTCCCCACTCAAACCTCGGTCCAGGACAGCTCATAAACATCAAACAAGTAGGGATCCCCAATCGATTCGACAGTGCCGCAATGTTTGTAGGCGAAAACGCGGGCGCCCCTCCACTACCTACCTGAGAACCAACGACGATCACGAGGTCGATAGTTATTTCTGGGAAAGCTTCGTCTAGAACTAGAAGAGAGGGGAGGGGTGGCAGTCGGTTAGACCCAGGTCAAACTTTAAACTTTAAAAGAGAAAGGACAGTAACAAACAAACCACTCACTCTTCGCATTCGCCTCCAACTCTGACGGAATCCCCGCTTCCCCATCCACGAAATGAATCAACTTGACACAAGAAGTCTCTTCGTTATTCCTCACATACAGGATCATCTGGAACAGGTGGTTGATCTAACACACAAAGAACAGTCAACAACGACAATGATCTCTGGTTGAAATGATCCCCACGAAAATCCCCAAACCCGCTTTCTCCATACAAAAACAAAAAAAAACCACTCACCTCATCACTCTTAACCAAAACCCCAACCGGCCTCTTCCTCACCCTCCTCATCATACCAATCAACTTCTCCCCCCACCCTCTCGTCCACCTCAACCGATGCAAAACCGGGTACTGATCAAACGTCCAATACGCAAATCTCAACAAATGCGTCTTGTTCTGTGATGCGGAGAAAAGCAAAAGAATAACGAGCAGGTAGGCAGCAAAGTATCTAGGTATGGACATGAGCGCTTGGAAACCGTCTTGGAAAACAAAAAAGAAAAGTAGGTAGGAAAAAGTACCCACCCTCCAATCTTGGGCTCGATCCACACGTTCCCAGCAGCAACCACAGCGCAAACGGCCAAACACACAAACACGACGCTCAACCTCGTGTGCGGGGACCGAGGCAGTCGATGACGGTTATACCGAAGCAAAAGTAACGAGAGCGGGAAGAGCGACATGACGGTGAGCCATGTCAACGAGAACCTATGTAACCGTAAACGTGTTTTGCACACGAAACAACACCAAAAAAAGGTCAGTTTCGAGGCTTCACTTCTCCCGCGAAGGTAGCGAACACGACACGCACATCTGACTAACAACTGCCAACGCCTTCCCTTCGTTCCCACCGTTCCCTCCAACAGGCGCAGCACTCAGATAAACCACCGCTGAAAACGCGCAAAAACTCGTTATACTGACCCAAGGTGCCTTCGTGACCGGTAACAGTTTCCTAAACCCAGTGGGCAAGACGTGGTCCAACGAAAGTTGAGATATCAACTCAGTCGAGGAAAGAATGCCTGTTTCAAAAAGGTTTGAAATGTGACGGGGAGAAAAAAGAAAGAGGACAGGAGCCAAGGAACACTTGAAAACCTTTTACTCACCCGTCAACACCCCTCCACAAAGCACCACAATCGCATCGACAGTAATCCATATCCTCAACCACCTCCCGCCCGCTCGATCTCCCAACACGCTAAGTACGTTAGTCCCACCTAGAATCTCTTCTAGTGGTATAATCCCCAAAACCAGCGTCATGAGTGTACAGTTTAAAATGACTGCGGGGTAATGTAGGTTTCGCAGAACGAGTGGAAGTCGACCGGGTTTGATGCGTGAGAGGTAAGCTGGGGTGCCTGCGAGTCGTAAAACATAATATGGTTGGTATGTTAGTTTTACTATCACTCGTGGTGAAAGGGAGAGTAGGAAAAACAAACGAAACCATGCGTAGAAAAAGAGAACCAAGAAAAGAAAAGCAACAACTCACACTCAAACCCAGTCAAACCCAGCATACCCAAACAAAACCCTCTAAAAACCTGTCTCGCCACTCCTGTACTCGAACTGTCGCTTCTTGCACCAAGAGACCAGTTTGCTGCCATCTGTGAGGTGCGTATGTGCGCCAAATGAATGGAGGATATGATAATCAGAGCGGTCATCGTCAATATCTGTAATCGCAAATGGAGTGAGTAAATGTTAATGTATATCGTTGGAAAAGAGAGAGACAACAAGGTGACTTATGAAAAATCCCAGATACTTAAGACAAGAAAGACTTACATGAAAACTCAAAACGCACAAAGCCACTTTTGCGCTTTCCTTGATTCCAGTGAGACTGACGAGCATGAACAACACGAGAATGATGACCGTAACAGTCCATTCAGGAAGTGGTAGAGAACCTGAATTCGTAGTAGCCAGTTCGCCAGCTAGGTATGACGCAGCTGTAGCAGCCGAAACTACCGAGGTTGAAGCGAAATCCAGTAAGAGCAGAGATGCAGAAAGGAGAGCGAGTGGTTTAGACGAGACGTTGAGGACATAAGAGTACGGTGCGCCTTGTAATGGGAACGCAGAACCTAGTTCTTCCATAATGGGACGCCAAAGAAAAAGAGTGAGAGTTGCGATGAAAAGGGAGATCGGTGAACTGCACAAAGAGAAGATGAACTAAATGAATACGGAAGAAGGACCATGAAGACACACTCACTAGATACTTGCAACGCCGACCACAGCTGGTAACGCATAAAAGACGCTGCCCAAAACCGCGTTACCAGCGAGAGCACTCGCTGTGAATTGACCCAATACCTTTTCATCCTCTCTTGCTCGAACGGTCTTTTGGCCTGCTTCGTAATCCTCCTCACTTAGCTGTATACGCACAAAGGATCCCCATCCCGAGAATTCGATGTCATTGGAGAGATTGAGGAAGCGAGAGGGCACGTTCGTCTGCTTGAGTGCGAATCCGTTGCTAGGGCGTACACGCTGGCGTCGGAGGATAACGTCGAACTGAGATTGCGAGAACGAGGGGGGGTTTCCAGAGCCGGTCCTTTCAGACTGCTCAGCGAGCTTTGGGGGTTCCAATGCTGGTAAGGCGACGACGCCACCGTACGTGCACAGAAATGAGAAAGTAAACATTGAAAGAGAGACAAAAAAAACTAACCAGAATTCCTCGGTGGCATTACTGCAATCCAGTTCTCTTCAGGAATGGGTGGTGCTCGTTCGTCTTCGTCCCTTTCTTTAGTCTCGTGCCCATCATTTTTGAGCATCTCTGGACAAAGGAGCGATGCCACTCCAGCGCTAGGGGCTAACAAAGTTTAAAACCGAAAAAGCACAGAAGGTAACGTAATTACTTATGTAATTGGATCTTTGTCTGACCTCAGCTACCGCTGAGCACTGTGCTCACT